TGGAGAAGCTTCTGCAACATCTTCTAGCATAGCAGAGTGCTAGCTCTTGCAAGGGAAGGATGAGCTAATTCTTCAACAAGCCTAGAGGGTTCAGGGGGGGTTGCAGAGTCCTCATCCTCAGGGGAATCCATGCAGATGTCTCTATGCATTAGGATCTCAGGTTTTATCCATCCGGGCCATGACCTTCACATAACAGGACTACTGCAGTGAGTTTTGAAACTTCTTTGGAATGGTGCAACTTCAACAAGTAAGTCTTTAGCTTGTCATGTTGCTGTGTTTGTCCTTCCAACACAAGTGATAAGGGGCTCAGTGTAAGCTACCACAGCCTGGCAGAACTGAGCAGTTCTCTGGCTTTCATACTTAACTACTAGCTGCTTGTTGACAGTTTTCAGTCTTTCTACTGGGTGTCTCCACGTTGCAGACACCAAGGCAGTAACAAACATGCAAGGATTTTATCACAGGAATGCCTATGAAACAAAATGGTTAAGGGATCTGGGGAGGCTAAGGGAGCTGTCAGACCACAATGCGAGTCAGACCCCAAGTAAAGGAGAGAAGGTGTCCTGCAGACTAAGACCTGCAAGACTGTTGGTGAGCATGTGAGTCAAGGTCAAGTACTCATGTCAAAGGAGTCTCATATTTACCAGAAATGAACCTGCCTCAGTGTCCCTGCAGTGCTTAACCGTTAGTGTGGATGAGGTGCAGTGTAGCCGCTGGGCCCTTGGTCAGAGAAGCTCCTTGCTCACAACACCCTGGTCTCAGCTGTTTTGACTGCTGGTTTATTTCTGGTTTGTTCTTTGCTCACAAGGCAGATCTTTCAGGGCTCTTACCAGAAAACTTAAAGTGTATATTTTTTTTAACCTTTACTCTCCTCCTTGACAACCCCTAAATTCTAATGTTTACTTTCCTAGGACTTTGAGAAGTCTGATCCCTACTCGGTGTTTTAGCTTCTTCCTGGTTGCTTTCTATTTGGTGTCTGAACCTTGTGACCAAAGCACAGGGAGCATAGAAACGGTAAACACATCTAGTAATAATTGCTCTCAGGACATTGGGCTCAATTCTCAGTAGTTCCCTTTCTTTGGGATATTGGTGTCTCTGGTCCTAGCTGCTTTGGTCACCCTAAGTACTGATGCTCATCTCCTTGGGTTAGTGAGGCTCCTGCCAGCTCCACATCACCCTCTCTGTGTGACCTCTCTTTCAGCGTTAGTTTAACAGCAAATCTGCTGGGGAGGAAATATAGTGACAAATACAGGGCACATCTTAACGCCTTTCTTGCTCACCTAGGAGCTGGGCCTCTTAAGTTTTGGCTGCCTTGGTTGATCTCTGATGTCATCATTTATTTTTTTGTTTGCATTTTATCAAGCTTTTTGAGTTACACTAGATGACTAATTTCTTCTGATATCAGATACTCACTTTTAGTGGAATCATAGAATATTGTGTTTTAAAAAATGTGAATTTATACCCTGTGTCCCTTAGAAAGCCACTTCCCTGTTTAGTGTTTATATTTAAATCCACCCATACAGGAGAAAGTTAATATTTTCTTCCTAAAGAGAAAATACATTCTCTAAATATTTTTTCTACCATTGTCTCATGTTTCTGCTGTATACTATGCTTCTTTTATTTTAAAATAAGATAGACTTTGGCAGTTTTAAAATATGGTCATTCAAATGTCTTTTTATGAGTCAAGGCATCAGGTATGATATTTTAAAGCACAGTAATAAAACTATATGTATGTCATTGTGTTGGGAAGGAAACTAGGGAAAGGTTATGGAGGCAGCTTATTTTATTTACTTATTTTGGCTCTGTTTTCTTGGGAAAATCTGATGGTAAACTAATATTTTAATTGAAACTATGATTTTCATTACATCGAATCTACTGTTTCCTTTATTTCTTCTCAAGTAAAAAATATGACATGTTTTATATTAGAAGCAAATATATTAGAAAAGAAAAGATCAAAGACATAGGGTATATTTGAAACATTTGTTAGTGTATGATTTATAAAGGAAATCATAGTATGAGCATACAGTTAACATTATATTGAATTTCTGAAAATATAAACTCTAGAGTAACTTTCAGAGTTAAAAATAATTTGCTATGAATTTGTGTGTTATAGCCTTAGCAGTTGCTCAAGTTCTGTATTTTATAAATATGCTTTTAAAACTTTATTTTTTGGCAATTGATTTTATTGCCATTTATTTTATTTTTATTGCTACATAATTGCTAAGTTTTCCTAATTTAAATAAGAACGAATATATACAAAACACTATAGGACTAAGAGTGAGAACTGAATTAGTTAGCATTAGGTCAAATTTCTTTGAAAAGGATGAATTAATAACAATAACTATCAATTGTAATTAGTTTTTAATCCTCGCTGCAATTTTATAATACAGATCGTGTTTCCATTTCACAAATGTGGAAATTAAAAACCAGAGTTTTAATAACCAGCTTAAAATTGTTACATGAATATAAGGGGAAGAGCCCGGAGGAGTTAAGACCATTTTGCGGCATGCATACATTGCTTTCAGTTATTCAAACACTAATACTGGTTCCCATGTGAAGGGATTTTGCAGATGTGATTAAAGCCCTTAGTCAGTTAAATGAATTAGACAGGAGATTATCCTGTGTGCACCTGAATTAATCAGTTGAAAGGCCTTTAATATTTGCTCAGGTCTTCTTTGAATGGGGACCCTGCCACCTGTGGACAACATGCTTCTGATCCTGACAGTGGGGGTTCCAGCTGCCTCATGATTGTCCTGCCTGCTTGCTTGCCCAACAGGCTTCCTACTTGCTCCTCCAGCCTCCCCAGTTGCAGAAATAGTCATATATTTGCTTATAGATATGATCTCCTACTGGTTCTGCTTCTCTGATTGAACCCTGACTAATACTCTTTCTTCACTGCTAAGCTAATACTTAAAAATTGAGACTTAACTTGGTCAAATTCGGAATGGAAATATGAGGAGAGAAGGATGAGTTTAAAAATAGGGTGGAGGAAAAGAGGAACCAAGAGTAGAGTCTTTCTTATTGTAGTTTATACTTAGATGCTGAAACACATATTTGAAAAGAGTGCTTTCCCACCGGCTGGTGTGGCTCAGTGGTTGAGCGTCGACCCATGCTCCAAGAGGTCACTGGTTCGATTCCTGGTCAGGGCACATACCTAGGTTGTGGGCCTGATCCCCAGTGCGGGGCATGCAGGAGGCAGCCAATCAGTGTTCTCTCTCATCAATGTTTCTATCTCTCTCTCCCTTTCCCTTCCTCTGTCTCTAAAAATCAATAAAGAAAAAACAACAACAAAAGAGTGCTTTTCCTGTCATTCCGGAAACTTATGTTCAACTTTTGACGTCTTTTCTAAAGTGACATGATATTACATAAATATAACTAGTAGATATCAGTTTTGTGTTAGTAACACTAAGAAGTATGACATATGAACATTTTTTGGTGTAAACACATGAATTTTGGATTACAGGGTAGACATTTTATACATAAGAATTCTCTACAGATTACTGTAAACAGTAATTTTCTGCTGAGCATTCTTTTATAACCTGCTCAGTAGGATCCAAGCAAAACATGTTCTCTTTTAATTAATGAACACTGGCATACAAAATCTAATAAAAATATTTTTATGGACTGAATGTTTGTGTCCACCCCAAATTCATATATTGAAGCCCTAAGCTCCAGTCTGACTATATTTGGACATGGGGTCTTTAAGAAAAACAATTAAGCTTAAATGCAGTCATTAGAGTGAAGTCCTAATCCAACAGGATTGATGTTCTATAAGAGGAAGAGAGACCAGAGTGCTCTTCCTTTGTCCACTAGTGCCCAAGGAAGAGGTCATGTGAGCACATAGTGAGAAGGTGGCCACCTGCAAGTCAAGAAGAGAGGCCACAGAATAAAACGTACATTGCTGGCACCTTCATCCTGGACTTTCTGGCCTCCAGAACTGTGAGAAATATTTTTCTGTTGTTTAAGCCACCCAGTCTGTGGCATTTTCCTATGGCGGCCCTAGCAGATTAAGAAAAATACTGAACCTAAAAGATAAGATTTTATTAAACATTTATAATAAATCTTAAAAGGTAAGATTTATTACTATGAAGAATAAAGTTTATGTACTTAACTGTCTCACAAAGCATATACTACCAAAAAAATCTTGTAAACTTTTTATTTTCCTAGGACCATAATTTTAAGCTGTATCAAATGCATGTAGAAAATGTAGTGAGTGTAATATATTTGGAAGAAAAAAATTACAGGCTTTGCAATTGATAGCAATCAACATAGGGCCTTCGCTTGTTGACCTCTGATCTGAATAATGAGGGAGATGGTAGATTTTTTTTCTGTGTAGCTGAGGTTGTTAGCTGTATTTTAGCTGTGTGTCTTTTAAAAGCAAGTATACATGATAAAATCTGGTGCTCTCACTAACAGAATGTGACAATGATAGAAAAAAGACTCCAGTTAGGGACCATAGAGTGTTGTAATCCAATTCCCACAAGGAGAATTTCAAACCTTTAACTCACTTTCTTATATTCAAAGAGGGAAAAAAAGTGACTCCTCCATAGCAAAATCCATGTTAATTACACCTTCAGAAAATATTCTTCCTACTCCAACTTTTACCTTTTCATTGAAACCTCTCCCTGTCTTGCTAAAGTGGTCAAGACAGGCTTCGTATCACACAATTATTTAGAAATTGTTACTAAGATTTAATGCATGAACATTTAGATTGGAGTATAAATGGAAAAGCATAGTTGATTAAACAGAATAAACATATGAGAATGGTTTAAAATTCTCCTCTTAAATGTCATGAAAACCTCTATTTAAAAATGTATTTTCCTTTTAAACAAAATCTGAGTAGGAAAAATTCTTCAAAATATTTATGATAAATTCACTTTTTGGCTCATCAGTATTACTTTTAAAATATACGCACACACGTTCGAGCTATTTTACTTTTTCTTTTCTTAGAAATAAGACTTTGCCAAGAGCCAATGATTTTATTTTTTATTTTTTTATTCTAAATTGTCCTCTGTGAGAGCTCGCCCTATTCTTAGGACAGCCCTCCTAAAGTGAGAAAGATTCTGTGTGTCTTAACAGACTCCTCTGAACCAATGAATTTTAATTCCCAAATATTGGATTTAGATGTGAAATATAAAATTCTTGACATGTGAATTATCTCTAAACTCCCATCCTCAGTTAAAATGATATAATACTTTGTTTTCTTTAAAGGATTTGCTATCTTTATTGGTACTGTGTTTGTTTTGTTTTTTTAGATCAAATAAACCCAAAATATAATTTTAAAATAGTTAAAAATTCTTCAAAGTGATTAACCACAACAGCGTTAAAGTTACAAATAGAAAATTCTTACTAAATTTAAATTTATGAAATTAGAGTGCAATCCAGTAACAGACAAACCTTTTTTAAAACAGATATGTTTTTATTGATTTTGAGAGAGAGCAATGAATGGAGGAGAGAGAGAAACATCAATGTGAAAGAGAAACATTGATCAGTTGCCTTCTGTATGCACCTTGACTGGGGATTGAACCCACAATGTGGGCATGTGCCCTGATGAGGAATCAAACCAATGACCCTTGGGTCTATGGGACAATGCTCAACCAACTGAGCCACACCAGCCAGGGCCAGACCAACCTTTTAAATGCCAATTAAAAGTTTAAAAAAATGAAGTATCCAAAGTGATCTTTATACATTATACCTTTAAAAAATTAACAATGGCTTAATAACAGGAATCATATTGGAAATATATAGATCTTATATTCAATGAGTTGCATAGATAATTATTTTAATGCTTTTTATGGGACCAAAAATACAGCAATCTTTGGAAGAGCTTCAAAAGAGGAAATCTTATTTTTTAGTTGACTACATAAATTGAGGAGATTATATATCTAGAGAATATTTGATTTGCAGCATTGTAAGATATATCATGTTTAAAGTCATAAAATGTAAAACCTGGTGAATTACCAAACTAAAGTCCTACAGACAAAATGAAATAGTTTGCTGTATTTATAGTTTATGATTAGGTTAAAACCAAACACAAGAATACGCATAGGTAGGTATAGAAATTGTTTATGTTTATTAAGGAACCTATATATATAAATCATATATATTATATATGAAACATTTATTATATTTAAATGTAAATATTATATATAATATAAATATATAATATAAAAAGTTCTGCTTTTTCAAATTCACAAAATCTGCTAAAGGTGCCTGCAAGGAATTAATTGATTTTGCCAGCAAACATAAAACTGTGGCAGGCTAACTTGTTACCTAATAAGTAGAGTAACACACCTCATATTTCATAGGTTAACATCTCAGTTCCTGAAAACTGTTAAACAGCCCATGGAGCACCTTCCATACCAAGACTGAAAAAAGAGAAGCTAAAACTTTTGGGTTGTAATATTGACTGTAGACAGGAATTATGCTCCTTTCCATTGTCATTAGCCAAGAATAATTTGTACTGCTATCAGATATCTACAAGTTAATTTACAACCTTTATAGAGGTTTAAAATAGCCTAATCAAGAATACATAGCAAAAGAGAACAGGATACTCTTAGACAATTAGTAATTTACTATTCAGTTCAATCCAAACTGTCCATGAAGAGAAAAAAAATGCCTACAATAAAATAACTTTTTTTTGTATTGAAGTTATACTATCGATGTACACTTTATCTAAATTGAGTATTTCTGAAAATTTCATGAGCCTCTGTAATGATACATCACAACAGTGAACAGCTTCTCTATGTGATAGCTAAGACTGAAAAATTATCTCAAGTGTGTAATATATTAGCATTTTCCTCTCTATCTGTCTCCAATTCCCTCCTGTGCTATATGCTTATGTAACTCCAAATTTTACAAATTGAATTAATTTGTCGAATTGTAAGATGTTCCCTATTTATAATTTAAAACTTCAATATTTAAATTCACACTAGATTATCTTCAGTTCAATGAATAACACTAGCTATGTTCATAAAAGATTAAATACATTTTTCCTGTTGAGCTCTTTGACCAAGATGTTCAATTCCACCAGAGCAAGAGTAGAACATGTTTAGTTTTACTTTTAAATAAATCTTTTAAAATGTAAAATTGTAGAAGAGTTCTTTTTTCCCTGAAAGAAAAGGAGATAAATTTAGATTTAGAGATGAATAGTAGTGGAAGGTTTTAATATTTTAGAAACAGCAACACAAGTAAATGTTTGCTCAAATTCTGGGGGAGGGGCGAGCGTCTTCCTGATTGAATGAAGAGAATACTTTTGTTGCAGTTACTTTTGAGTTTTTGACACCTTTTGGTGGAATTCCTTCCAGATGACAGTCTATAATGCCCTCCCCAACCCAATCCCATTTTATTTATGTAGTGCAGAGATTCTCATTTTTAGCTCTGTGTAGAATCACCTAGAGAGATTTTACAAAAATAACTGATGCTTGGAACATATCTGCACAACTCAGAATCTCTGGGGGTAGGGCCCAATTACCAGTATTTTTCAAAACTTCTGCAGATGATTTAAATGTAAAGTCAATGCACAGAAATACTGATAGAGTGGATTTCCATATACTATATAAGCTTATTTGTTCTTGACATTTCCTCCCTAAGTATTTATATACTTTAAATCTAAAAAAAAATAGTCACTGTGACTAAAAGCATGAAAATGTATTCATAAAATTCTTATTTTACTATTTTCTAAAAAATAGACGTTCTGCTGTTATATACATATTTATTATGTGTGTGTGTGTATGTATATATATATATACTATATATATATATATATATATATACTATATATATAACTAAACTATATCTTAATAGAATGTAAGGGCATGCCCCACATAATCAGAAAGTATATCGTTGATCTAGGTATACAATACACCAAGCTTTCTCATCTGTTTATATCAATGGCTTTAATATATATATGGGTGTGAGTGTGTGAGGGAGGGCATAAGCAACAGATTAATATTATTCGGCTGAAAGCAGTTTTTCTCATAGGTGGATAATACATTCTTTGGGGGGGTGGTTTCCTTTGCTGTTCATTGGCCTTTAGGTTATGCAAAGGTAAAGCCAATATTCTGTTCTGGAATGGAGGGTTTGAGACAATGAAATCCTATGCTTTCGAGAATAGTACTTGTAAAAGGTTATTTTTACTCTGGGAAAAGTTGCCAGAATCCCCCCATATACCTTTTTTGGGGGCATCTGAAAGTGGTTGTCTGGATTCCTGATAGGAAGATACAGGGAGGGAAAGGAGCTGGTCCTCATAACATGGTAGCTGGGCGGAAGCTAGCTCAGTGGAGAATGTCTAAGAGTACCTGTGGAATAGCCTGGCCTGAGAACTCTGAGAGGTTGTGTATGTTTAATCCAGTTTCAAGCGGGGTGTGTGTGTGTTTCACTGTATTCTTTTTTTTCTCGACCCAAACCTTTAGTAACATTTTGTTCAATCACATTGGCTGGTCTTAGCTCTGCTGTGGGGAGCTGCTTTGTGTTAAGTACCAACGTGAAGAGTAGCAGCTGCGTGAGGAGGAAGTTTATGGACTGCCAGAGGAGACCAAGAGTAGAGAAAGACAAAGTCTGCCTCAGGAAACAAAATGTTGGGTAGCAGTGATAACTAGAAATATTCTGGAACCTGTCAACATTCCTTGGTGATTCTAGAAACACCTCGGGAGGAGAAAGTGTTCCAAGACCAGACATCCAGTGATTGAAGATGGATGCCGTTTGTGCTAAAGTGAAGACTGACTCCTGGAAGCTGAAGAAGGACAACTGAACTCTAAGAGAAAAAGAAAAAAACTTTGTAAAACAACTGCTCATTCTATCAGTCAACAAGCATTCATTAATTGTATTTGAAACATATGTTTATATGTTTCATATTCATTAATCATATACATAAACTGGCCCAGCTATCAAAAATTATTTGCTTTAATGAGGCACGAGGTTAAAATTAATAACTATAGCAAGGCACTTGGCCAGGCACTATCCATACACAGCTAACAATCATCATTTACAATTGATAAGGCTTTGATGAGACAGTTCGTAAAAAAAAAATCACATTATATACAAAGTCTGCATTTTTTTTGTTTCTATTAAGTTTTTGCTTAACTATTTTCATATATATATTTCAATTATATTTCTGGATGCAATTATTAAAAGAGATTTGTTAAGGGACTGATCCCTGGAGAATCCCTAAAGCAGGACGATAGCACGAGAGAAGGTTAAGGGCAAGGCAGCCGAGGATGAAAGGTCAGCATAGAAAGGTCCCAGGGCCACAAAGCCATCTGGCCAGAGGAAAGTTAGCAAATCTTCATGAGCAAATCTAGCTTTTGTCAACTTTACTCACAACTCAGATCAGAACTGTATGAAACTCTCTTAATAAAATGAGTGATTCAGGATTCCAGCGGAGGAGATCCTGCCTGGAGGTCTTCAAACATGCTGGAATTTCCCCTTTCTCAAGTATCTCCAGCTAAAACTCAAAATGAGCTGTAGTGGACTCATTTGTATACACATAATGAGTATTTTTTGTCTAATGAGGACATTTAGAAAAATGAAATTCTAAACAAAGTACTTATCACACTGTTGATAGTTTGTTGATAATCATGCTTTAGATGTTCATTTATGTTGCTTTTGTTGTTGATTTTCACCTTTGCTTTTCCTCCAATGCCCCTTTTTTCTTGTACTTCCCCTAGGCTGGCCCAATTTTGGAACTGACTTTCTCATTAATACTTCGTGAAAAAGTGGATAGTTACCCAAGAAATGATAAAATTTAAATATTTTCAGTTACAGATTTCAGTTCAATCTTTTAATTTCACCTGAAGATGTAATCTGATTGGGTTTACAGTTTGATGTCCTAAGGCCTCTGGGGTTCCATGAAGAGTTAAATTTTTTCATTCAACAAATATTCACTGAGTGCTTCTATGTACCAGACACTGTTCTAGATACTTGGAGATATAGCAGTGGACCAAAAAGAAAATGAAACAACAAGCAAAACTTCCTACTCTCATGAAGCTTCTATCTAATAAATGTGTGTATCTATATCTTTACATGAAAATATGGTTATTAAAAACGGAATCTGTTTTCAATGCAACATATAAGAATGAAGATACACACATCTCTCTATAAAAGAAAAGTGAGATTAGTGGTCTCTGAATTGGAAAATATAAGTATCAG